TAGGGGACTCAGGGCAAATTCCATGTAACAAAATATACAGACACGTACAGAATAAGCATAACATAGGCATAAAAATTTATCAACACACGCATATATATATCAGAACCAATCCCTCATGATTCTTTCATGCAAATGAGCTGCAAAGGACCAAAATTCCAGAAATGACCAAGGCAATTTCAAAGGGCTGGGCTGGGCTAGTGCAAGGAAAAGGTGCATTTTTTTTGTTTTCGTTTTTCACTTTCACAGGGTCCTGTGCACCTAACTCTAGCAAATATGCAGGGTTGGCTATACTCTGAAGTCCAGTAGCAGCTGGTGGTTCCCATGTTTATTTATTTATTTATTTATTCACCACACTTGTACCCCCCCCCCTTCTCACCCCGAAGGGGACTCAGAGCAGCCTGACAAAGACAACAATTCAATGACACACATATGCATATTGATAAACAAATGCATTAAAATCCAAAACAGTTAAAAAGTAAAACATTAAAACATCAATTACAATCACACAATCCAAGTTATACTGCAGGGCCGTTCCAAGTTGTCAGTTATGTTATTTGTAATTTCTTATTGCATTGCTCCAATTTACAGACCAAAGGTTTGGTCCCAAAGCCATGGTTTTAGTTTTTTCCAGAAGGTCAGGAGGGAAGGGGCCTATTTAATTTTTTAATGTTGGGGAATCCCCCCTAGATGTTAGACTGAGCTTTGAAGATACTATCTCACCTGGTGTATCTCTTTGTGAAATAGTGTTCAGCACTGTGGATAACTCCTTGAGAGTTCAGATAAAAACCTCAGAGTAGATTTACCACACCCCTAATATGTAAGACACTTACCTGCCTTTGTTAATGGAATACTATCTTTTATGCTAACTTGCTTCCTTGAAACTAAAGACTTGCTTTATTTGTAATTGAATATTTAATTAGTTTGTGTGCAGGTAGTAATAACTGGATGTATTTATGTACTTAACAAAACAATCCAAGAAATAACAAGGAAAGTGAACAAGCATCAACAAACAAAGGAAAATTATCAGTAAACATTGGGCTAGGAGCATGGAGTGTTTTATAGTCAAAGAACCCTTATTTTGGATGAAGTCTGTTTGTTTTCTATTACAGTAGACTTTTAGTGATTAGTTGGAGAAGAAGAGCCATCGTAGGGAGTGTCCTATCAGAATGCTTTCTGGCTGGGTGGAGGTTGGTGCTCCTGCGCACAGAGGTGGCCCTAGGTAATTTTCAATGGTAAGTATTTTGGTGCCCTCCCCCCTCAACCAATCACTGATATAAATTTTCTGTTAGTCATGGGAGTTCTGTGTGCCATATTTGATTCAATTCCATCATTGGTGGAGTTCAGAATGCTCTTTGATTTTAGGTGAACTATACATCCCAGTAACTACAACTCACATATGTCAAGGTCTATTTTCCCCAAGAGTGCCCCTGGGCAAAATCAACTATACTGCAAATGCTTACTTTGTGTAATGGGTTGAGCCGCCCCTGCCTGTGCACGTTCATTTACATGTTCAATTAAGACAAACCAATCCTCCTGAAACATGTTATTTCTCACTTGTCCATTATATCATTTAGTTGTGTAAGTATGTTTTTCCATTAGCCAGATGTTCCAGCTTCTTTTTCACCAGTTGTTCAGCATAATTTCTCCTGATTTCCAGCATTTGGTTATCTGTATTCAGTGATCCTGTGGCATCTCCTGCAAGCCATTTTCACAGTGTCCTGCACTCAATTTACAAACAAATGTGTGGAAGCATATTATAGTTCTGCTGTCCTCGAGTGGAATTAGGTCTCAAGCAACAAATTGGTCCCAAACCAAGGCTGCAATATCATCACTGTAAACTTCATCAATGTGTTAAAGAGATGTTCTACATGACACACTTTATTGCAGACCTTCACAATTTGTAAAAGTTGTGAAAGATACTACTCAGGGTGAATTAAATCAATCTACAATAGCTACTTTCCTTACTGTAATAGAAAATTAAGATTGAGGCAATAATTTAAAATGGAAATGGACGTGATTATTTTACTCAAACAGAAACATTGTCTTCAAAATGATGCAAATTACATTTCAACATTCTTTCTTGTGATTATTTTTGAGATGAACAGGAAAATTGAAGATAAGAAATATAATACACATACACACTAGTCTCAATGATGTTCATCCTGTTGAACCAATGACAACTTGGTAAGACAGCAGTTCCACATGTTCCAATGATTCTCAAAATACTGCATATAATTCTGGAACGAATTCCAAATTAAGGAAAAAACAGAGGGATACAAATTGGGTAATTCAATGTGATCGTGAATGACTGATAACTTTAGGAGTTGGAAATTGAGTTCCTTGGGGCTGCAGTAGTGCAGCAGTTTAAACAGCTAGCTGCAGGAAATCTGCTGACTGGAGGATTAGAAGTTCAAAGTCACGCATCGGGTTGAGCTCCCACTGTTAGCCCTAGCTTCTGCCAACCTAGCAGTTTGAAAGCATGCAATGAAAGTAGATCAATTGGTACCACCTTGACAGGAAGGCAAAAAGGCACCCCATGAAGACATGCTGGCAAACATGATCTGAGATGTCTACAGACAACAGGCTTCTCAGCATGAAAAAATGGAATAGCAACACATCCCCAAGGCCAGAGTAGAGCATTGCCTTCAGACATTGCTCAACTCTGGCATTGGGGATGTGCTGCTATGTATTGTATGTCATCATTGCTCACTATGTAAAATGCATTGAATATTTGCCTTATATCTGTATACTGTAATCTATTCTTATTCCCTCCAGGGAAATAAAGCAGAATATAAATAAAGAGTGTTGTTGTTGTTGTTGTTGTCATTATTACATTTCTCAATCTACATGGTTAAAACTGCGTGGGATGGCAGAGAGGCTGGAAAGACAAGATAGCCCCCCACCTATGACTTTTTTGTTTTACTCACAATGAAATCTCCACCCAATCATTCCAAGATGCATAGCAAGTATAATCAATCAACAGTATGACAGTGTTAGGGAGGGAAACGAGGACTTGTTTTCATAAGAGTTACAGCACTATGATTTTATAGTAACTGCCATGTTTTAATCCTACGGATCCCGGGAATTTGCAGTTTTGGGAAAGAGTATTTAGAATTCACTCCTGGGGGCCAAGTCTGACTTCCCAAGGTACGAGCGCAACTGGTGCACAAGTTTTAATTGTGCAAATGCTCCCCTAAGCTACAAACCTTAGGATTCCATACCATGCAGCCAAGGCAGCTGAAATGGACTCATAGCACTATGAGTAAAACTACTGGAGAAAAGAAAAGTAGCTAAATGTATGGAATACAGTTACTCAGATATAAATTTCATGAAATTCTGAGACAATTCTGGATAGAGCCTTTGTGGTTCCAGCCCAGTTCACTTATCCAAACATATCTCACTCTATGAACCATCACAGAAATTAAGATCTTCTGGGGAGGCCCTGCTTTCGGTCCCACCTCTGTCACAGGCACAGTTGGTAGGGATGAGATGCTGGGCCTTCTCAGGGGTGGCTCCTCAGCTATGGAACTCCCTCCCCAGTAATATTCAATCAGTTCCTTCCCTGTTAACCTTCAGGAAAAAAAGTTAAAACATGGCTATGGGATCAAGGTTTTGGAGAATAACTGAAATGCAATAAATGAACAATGAATTTGTGCAGTGACCCTGGACCCTTGGAATGGCCCTGGACTACGACTTTGGATGACATGATTTGATAATTGATGTACCTGTTTTTATTTATGTGTTTTTATCAATTATATGTTTCTAAGGCATCAAATTCTTGCCGTTATGTGAAGCTGCTCTGTGTCCCCCTCGTGATTGAGAAGGGTGGGGTACAAATACAGTAAATAAATAAATAAATATGTTTTAATTGTTTGAAAAACTATTTTAATTGATATGTATATTTTTACAGTTTTACAATACTGTGTTTTACTTATATTTTATTGTCTGAATTTGGCATTGAATTATTGTCATAGTTTGTTAGCCACCCTGAGTCCCCCTTTGGGGGTGAGAAGGGAGAGGTACAAGTACAGGAAATAAAATGAATAAATAAATAACCTGAGGCCTGGATGTTGGCAAAGAAGACTCCAGAGGTGTGAAACTACAACTCCCATGATTCCACAGGCAGTTAAGATTGTGCCTAACTGCATTAATTCTACAGTCTACACCAGTGGTTCTTAACCTGGGGTCCCCAGATGTTTTGGCCTTCAACTCCCAGAAATCCTAACAGCTGGTAAACTGGCTGGGATTTCTGGGAGTTGTAGGCCAGAAACATCTGGGGACCCCAGGTTGAGAACCACTGGTCTACACAGTGGTTTCCAACCTTTGTTCTTCCAGATGTTATGCACTTCAGCTCCCACAATCCCCAACAGCTGGTAAACTGGATCTCAGAGTTGAAGTCCAAGAGACCTGGAGGAGCAGGGTTTGAGAAACACTGGTCAAGAATGTAGCCTCTGCGAAGTCCCTCCCAGGTTTCAGTCTGAGTTAGAGAGGAGCTCTCCGGGTGCTGAAAAGGTCGGCCTTCAGCACCTCGGACAGTTCCTTCGAAGTGCGGAGTTCTAAATGGAGCCCATTCCTTTCCCTGGGCAGGGGAGCTGCCAGCCTCCATTGTGGGCGGGATGGAGGGCATCTAGGGCGCCTCAAGGCGGGTCACGCCGTCCTAAAAGGGGCGAGATTCTTCGGGAGCCACGGGGGGACCACCAATGTGCCTTTTTCTCTCCGGGAAGTGAGTCCCATCCCTAACGAATCGGCGCCTGGCCAGTGCGGGGTTTTTGCGCGCCTCGCTGTGGGCGCAATCTTTGCCCGGCGAGTTGGGCAAACTTCCGCGGCGGCGCGCAGGGAAAGGAGCGCTCCTGGTGCGGGCGCGCGTTCTTCTTTTGCGCGCGCGCGCCCCCGCCTCCCTCTTCCCTCCTCCCTCCCTCCCTCCCTCCCTCCCTCCGCTGCTGTCCTGGGCGGCCGGTCCGGGGCGAGGCGAGGGGGGCTCGGTGACGCTCTCCCTTTCGGCCGCGGAGATTGGAAGGCGGCGCGGGGGCGGTCCCGCCGGGCCTTAATCTGCCCCTCCATTGGGGATTATGGGCTCACACTCTCGCAAGGGCCAGCCGGAGAGAGGGACGCCCGCCACCAAGGACGCACCAGCCAGGAAGGGGTTCGCCCAGCCCAGGAAAAACTCGGCCCGCCAACGACGCCGCCAGGTAGGCACGGACCCCCGCCCGGGTGGGAAGGAGGAACGAGAGCGGATCAAGGCGGGCAGGCGGGCGGGCGGACGGTTTAGAAAGGAAGGGCTGGCGACCTCCGTGGCACCGCTTCCCGCCCTCTTTGCACCCTTCTTCACCCCTTTTTTCCTTCCTATTCGCCCTCCTGGACCCCTTTTGCCGGAGGCCGTTCCCTCCTTTGCCCTCCTCTCTCGCCTTATTTGCGTCTTAATAATACCCGCGTGGGTCGGGCTAAGCGTGTCAGGAGTTTAGCTGGAGGAGAAACTCAGGATTGGACCGAGATGGCGACAAAAATAAAGTATACCTTTGAAACTGCAAGGCTATTCAGTGCTAATCAAGGGGGCCAATTGCAACATTCACACTTGCCTCAAGCAGACCAGAGTTCTTTCTCCCACCCTGGATATTCCACAGAGATATAAACCCCACTTGCCTAGTTTCCCACAGACTGCTCAACTTCTGAGGATACCTGCCATAGATGTGGGTGAAAAGTCAGGAGAGAATGCTTCTGGAACGTGGCCATACAGCCAGGAAACCTCACAGCAACACAAAGTAGTCTTCATTCAATTTTGTTTTAAAAAGCATCTCCAATTTTTCTAATCCAAGGACTCCTTCTCTCCTCTTTTGAGAGGGAGCAGAGGAGAGGGTTCAGTCCATGGGGAAGACTTTCCTTTCTGGAGGAGGTTGGAAGGCTGTCACTGACTTCTTTCACACTCTTCTCTTCCCTTCCCTTCTCTCCCCTTCCTACGCCATTGTACCACTTTGCTTTATTTTTGTTTCCTTGGGAACTTTTCTCACTTTTTCTTTGAAAAAGTTATAAATACCGCTTGAGCTCCCTGCTCTCATTATGTCAGAAGAGAACTGAGATTTTGTATAAAAATGGCTTCATTCCTCCCTTCCCATCATGGAGAGACCCTCCAACTGCCAGTTTTCAAGAGCAGGGATATGTTTCTGGCAATGCCTGTTTGTGGCCAGGGCCACAAGTGTCCGACATCTCAGAAGGGGACAGAATTTCTCTACATCAGTGACTAGCCAAGTGATTTGGTAAACTGGATTTTAGGGCTGGGGACTGAATCCCAAGATAGAAGAGACTCTCAACAGGTCACCCTCTAGTAAGGTCTTGTTCTAAGTGTGAATTAGGGGTCAGGTCAGGCTAGACTACAGGAGTCAATGAGACTCATGAAAGTGTTTTTTTGTCAAGAGAGAAAAGTGGGGAAAGTGGGATATAACAATATAATAAACAAGCAATCAATGTTGACTTACTTTCAAATAAAATGATATAATGGGTCCACCCTAGTTAGGACTAGTAACTACGATTGAGACCAGGGTGTCTTAGGGTTATCCTACCTACATAAAGGGCATCACTCCTGACATTGGGCAGGCACCTATCACCGTATTTAAACATCTTTTTAAAGGATTCATCGGGGAGGTAGATGATGCTTCTTGTACTTCCAGTGTGTAGTTGACTCACAGTTATGCACTGTGGAAGCACGGCCTCTGTCTTTGGGCATCAAGTCACCACAGGCTCATAGAGGCATAAAACTGGAACTTTGTGCCCATCTAGGCCAGGGAGAAGAGAGACAGCATGATGTAGCGGTTTGGGCATTGGCTCAGGACCCTTGAAACCAGGGTTTGAATCATACAGGGCATTAGGGAATAATTTTCACTGTCTAAAATGCCAAAATATAATTTTAAAAACAACAATAAAGAGCACAGACTTGGTTTTGAGAAGTCTTTTTTTTGTTTTACATTCAAACGTGCAGGTGGAGTGTGATCTATTTAAAACAGTGGTTCCCAACCTTTTTTTGACCAGGAACCACTTTCACTAGGGACCACTCTCCAACATTAGTACCAGAAGGGTTATGAATCAGTTTTTGGTCAATGTTAGATTTGGTTTGGGGTGATGATTCAGAAAATTGCATTGGATAGACCACATCAGTTCTAGTTTCTGATACAGAACATATGCCATCCAGTAGTCACCATCTGCTCACCCACAGAAAACCATATTTAATAAGCCTTGGCACTATAAGAGGGTTTCATGAGTTGCTCTCGTTGAAATGGTGTAGTAGCAGACCATATTTTGCAGACCACTGGTGGTACATGAACCACAGGTTGGGAATTGCTGATTTAAAAGGAGTGTTGACCTAATGCTAATGCCTGAATCAGTCCAACCCATGACCCTGAGCAGGATCTTCAGTGCTTACTTCTTCACATCAGTCCTTTTCAAGTCAATGTTGTGCATGTATGAAACATATAATCTTGTCCTTTGAGCATGAGGAGGAGACTAGCTGTTTGAGAAGTTGAGGGAGACTTTCAGTTTGGCTTATGTCTACGGTGCTCTTAGTAGAAGCAAAACAGGCAGTGCAAATCACAAATGTTTTGCCACTTGTAGTAAATGACAATCTTAAGCCCCTCTGAATTCTATATACAGAACCTGACTGGACTGGAAAATAAGTTTCACTTCAGTACTTGGAATGGGATAGTACCTGCCACTGCCAAGTGCTAGTTGGTGACTCTACTTCTTTCTGTGGGGTGGTGAATCCACTCTGGGTTGGAGTCTGAATTTTTAAAAAGCTACTCAAAGTGATGAACATATTTGGGGGGTCATTTTCAGGACCTTGGATAATGTACAGACTAAAGCCCAGTACTGATTCTCATGCTGATTCATAACCCAAATGTGGAAGCCACCATTGCTTCCAACACACCTGAGAGTGACTAGTTAGTTCAAAGGAGGTAACTTGTCACATTCAGCTCTGTCTTTTATGAAATGGTCATTTCCCTCTTCCTAATGGTATTTGCAAGGTTCCTTTCATGAGGAAAGTTATTTCTGGGGTTCTCATGACCACAGAGAACCTCCCTGGTTGATTGAGAGCCACATTTTTAGAATGCTAATAGCTGTCTGTGAATATTTATCTGAAATAACCAGGCTTGTATTTTTATTCAAGACTTCTAAACATCCTCTCCTCAATTCAAATACTAATAATTTCTTTATGAAATTGACTGTCTCAACTCTGTATTTATAATCCAACTTCTGCTGCAAGTCAGAGTTTGCCCATGTCTGTAGTAAATGGCTAAATAAATAAATATTTATTAAATAATTAAGTAACATGAGAGTAGATTCAAAATGTCTTTCATTAGAAAATTAGTTAAAGGATAATTCAGAAGTTTGATTTCATGTCCTTGTCCTGGAAATCATTTCATGCCCTTGTCCTGGCTGGGTGACCTCCACAGTTTTCTTTCAGAGTTACATTTTGGCAAATCTGAAAAATGGATTACACAACTGTTGAGAGTGGAACTTGGGATCTGTGAGGAAAGCTGGTCCTTTGAATACCAGAAAGGCAAACTATAATGGAGTATATATAGGAATAAATTTTACACTGTTTGTGACTGGGCTGTGTATGGTGGGTCAAGCTCCCTCTCATAAAGTCTTTTTGAAGGCTGTATAGCTCAGTGAATTGTCTTAAGTGCCATGAGATGTGCCGATTTAATGCTAAGACTACTTGATCCATATTTGAACATAATGCACTGCTTATAGTAAAATCTTTGAAAGTGCTGTCCATTGAGTGGTGAGTTATCAGGAGTTAAGAACTGTTCTTGCATTTGCTGGGCTTATATGCATTCAAACCAACCAAACACCACTTTTTCCAGCTTTAATTTTTAATTGGGCCAGGAAATGACATGTGTTTCCTAGCTCTGGAAACTGTTGCACAGCATATCAAATATCAGGACCTCCTGGTTTAGATATGAGCTGGGTAGAGCCTTAACATCCCTAGGATCCAGCATAGCATTTTCAAGTTTCTGCTGAGATATAAGAGCCTCCCCATCCCACCTTGTGTGCATTTTAGTTGTTTGGCTTTCAAGACTGAAAAATCTTTCATTTCACCACCTTACTGTTTGTATGTGGCTCTGTCTCTGTCCTGGGCTGGGAGACTCTAGCTGTTACTATGGCTATGGGCAGTCTGCCATGCTCTCAGTCCCTGGGAAAGGGGTGGGGAGTCCTGCAGGAGAGCAGGCGAGGGGAGAGACTAGCTGTGGCAAGCAAGGGGACATGCCTATAGGAGAGTATTTATAGAGCTTAGCTTATTGATGCATTTTTGGTCGCAGCAGGAATCACATTGCATTCACTGGGGGTGGGCTGCTCAGCCCTACTACCAGAAAATCCCTATATCCCCACAGTCAGAATAAAGGTGTGCATGGACTCAATGGATGCACAGTCTAAGGAGTAAGTTTATTCTATGGACAGGAAGGGCAGGGAACTACAGCAAAATCAAATCTGTAACAACTTTGCCTCCAGATCATAGAATCATAGAATCAAAGAGTTGGAAGAGACCTCATGGGCCATCCAGTCCAACCCCCTGCCAAGAAGCAGGAATATTGCATTCAAATCGCCCTTGACAGATGGCCATCCAGCCTCTGTTTATCAAAGTGTACAAAGAAGGAGCCTCCACCACACTGAGGCAGAGAGTTCCGCTGCTGAACAGCTCCACAGTCAGGAAGTTCTTCCTCATGTTCAGATGGAATCTCCTCTCTTGTAGTTTGAAGCCATTGTCCCGTCCTAGTCTCCAAGGAAGCAGAAAACAAGCTTGCTCCCTCCTCCCTGTGGCTTCCTCTCACATATTCATACATGGCCCTCATCATATCTCCTCTCAGCCTTCTCTTCTTCAGGCTAAACATGCCCAGTTCCCTAAGCCGCTCCTCATAGGGCTTGTTCTCCAGACCCTTGATCATTTTAGTCGCCCTCCTCTGGACACATTCCAGCTTGTCAATATCTCTCTTGAATTGTGGTGCCCAGAATTTGACACAATATTCCAGATGTGGTCTAACCAAAGCAGAATAGAGGGGTAGCATTACTTCCTTAGATCTAGACACTATGCTCCTATTGATGCAGGCCAAAATCCCATTGGCTTTTTTTGCCGCCACATCACATTGTTGGCTCATGTTTAACTTGTTGTCCACGAGGACTCCAAGATCTTTTTCACACG